ATAAAGAGCTTAATATTTCAATTTAAATATTTCTCTGGGAGAAAATGGACAAGCCTGTTTAAAACAGGAACTTTTATCCCTGAGGGAGAAACGTGTTGGCATGTGTGGTCTCTCCTGCAGGGAATTCTCTTCTCATTCTGGAATTTCTCAGTGTTAATGTTACTTGTGGGGATTATTTATAACTAAAATTTCTCTTCTTGTATCTGTTCAAGAGCCATTTGAACATTGAGTGTTTTATTTTAAAGGTGATTTAGGAAAATCAGTAATTATGGAACATTCCTGTGCCTCTTCAAGTTTTCCTTCAGAACTGAATTTTACAGAAATCAGAAGTAATTTCACAGTTTGGAATCGCATGTTGATTTTTTTTTAATATAAAATGTGTTTCTAAATAATCAATCCTTTCCAAAGTAAAAAAGAGATACTTTGGTGTTGGGTTTAGGTTTGTTTTCTTTTAATGGAGCTGAATTTTCATTTATCCTGCTTGGGAGCTGGATCTGGCATCCCTCTGGACAGGCTTGCAGCTATCCTGGATCCCATGATTTTGCTTTGGGAATATTTCAGTCATAGAAGACAATCATGGAATCATCAAGGTTGGAAAATCTCTCTAAGATCGTGGAGTCCAACCATTCCCAGCACTGCCACCAGTGCCCCATGTCCCCAAGTGCCACCTCCACGTGGATTTTAAATCCCTCCAGGGATGGGGACTCCAGGGCTGGACAAACCTTTCCATGAAGGAATTTTCCCAAAAATCCACCCTGAGCTCTCCTGGCCCAGCCTGAGGCCGTTCCCTCTCCTCCTGTCCCTGTTCCCAGATCCCAAATCCCCCCGGCTGTCCCCTCCTGTCAGGGAGTTGTGCAGAGCCACAAGGCCCCCCCTGACCCTCCTTTTCTCCAGGCTCAGCCCCTTCCCAGCTCCCTCAGGAATTCTCCAGCCCCTTCCCAGCCCCATTCCCTTCCCTGGACACTCTCCAGCCCCTCAATGTCCCTCTTGTCCAAAACTTCCTGGGATTTGGGGTCCCTCAGCAGTGCCAGCATAGGGGACAATTCCTGCTGCTGTGGTCACACAATTCTTGTTCCAATCCAGGTGCCAGTGGCCTCTGGCACATCTGGGCACAGCTGGACTCATTCCAGCACCCCCAGGACCTTTCCTGCTGGGCACTCTCCAGCCCTGCTGGCCCAAGACCAAGAGTGACCCTCAGTGACCCTGGTTTGGAAAGAAACAACCCAGGAGAGCCAGGAATTGCAGTAACGTGCTGGGAAAATGCTGCTCTAGTGGATATCCTTTAATTATCTTCCTCTCTGTGTGACCACCTCATTTGTGAGCTTTGCAATAGGGAAAGACATGCAGGGTGAACTATTTCAGTGAATAAATAACTGATAAATGCCCAGGACAATGGAAGCTCCTTGCAGGACTAGCTGGATAAACACAGCTTTGCAATTATTCCTATGGTTCAAATTGAAATTGATTTTTTAGAGAATTAGGTACCTTTTTTTTTTCTATGCATTGCTTCCAGTGCTGGTCTGTAGATGATGATAGTGATCTCCAAACATAGCTAAAAATTAAAAATCAACTTAAGATTAAAATCTAATAATGTTGTTAGCTATTGCTAACTAGTTAGTAGAGCTTATTAAAACCACCTAGAGTACAAATATTGCCTCTAAATAATTACAAATCTTTATTAGCATTGTAATTAAGAGGGTGCTGGCTGTAAGTGATACCTCACAAAGAAAATGATGACTGGTAGTTGTACTTTCCTCCTAATATTAAATAGATTTTCCTTCCCAGCATAGCCTTGGACAGTGGTTTGCAGGTGGGGATCTGCAGATAAATGCTGGAGCAGGGATGTGTGTGTGTGTGATGCAATGTTGGCTTCAAGGAATAATTTTGTATCAAAGGAAGGTTTTTATTACCAAGATTTAACACCAAGATGAGCATGAATCATTATTTAATGCAGGGAAACAGCAAGAGCTGTTGATAAATGATTAAAGACCCTCACCCAGTCTGCTCAGCACCACTTTGGGGGCTCAGCCTGAGCTGAAATGACAAAATTTAACAAGTTTCTGTCATTTTAACTAAAACTTACAGCACTACACAATCCCTTCCTGTTCATATTCCATTTCTATTTGCTTATTGTTTATTTTCCTGTATTTATTTTTAACTCCAGCAGCCATTCCAGGTTTTTAGCCACCTCTCCTGTTGGCATTTCCACACTTGCATGTGGACTCGGGGAGTTTCACCAGCAGACATTCAACTTTATTGTTCCTTTCTGATTCCCACTGTGCTAATTAAGATGATTTTCTTGTGTAATTATCCCTCCCTTCAGTGACACATCATTGCTGCTGGCTGGGGACAGTCAGAGCAGCTCTCCCAGTGCAGCCATGAGCTGCTCCCAGGGATTGTCAGGAGGTTGGAGGGATGGAGGACAGGACAGGGATCACCAGGAGATGCAGAGGAGATGGCAATCAAATTTATCCACACCTCTGGCTGCTCCTACATTGAAAAATGAGTATTAATTATGTGTTTGGAAGTTTAAAAGTTGATCCTAACTCATGGGGGTGCTCACCTGGAGAGGAGAAGGTTCCAGGGAGAGCTCAGAGCCCCTGGCAGAGCCTAAAGGGGCTCCAGGAGAGCTGGAGAGGGACTGGGGACAAGGCATGGAGGGACAGGACACAGGGAATGGATTTAACCTGACAAAAGGCAGGGATGGATGGGATTTTGGGCAGGAATTGTTCCCTGGGATGGTGGGCAGGGCTGGCACAGGATGCCCAGATTTGCTGTGGCTGCCCCTGGATCCCTGGCAGTGCCCAAGGCCAGGTTGGACATTGGGGTTGGAGCTCCTGGGACAGTGGAAATGTCCCTGCCATGGCAAGGTTGGCACTGGATGAGCTTTTTTGTCTGTTCCAACCCTAAAACCTTCTGGGATTCTGTGATTTTTTTTTTTTTTCATAGTAGTTTGCCTTGAGAATTTCCTCATGGTATGAAACCATCTTTTAACTCTTGCTGCCATGTGTATTAACTTAAATTACTCCCCAGACAGGTAAATCAACACAAATAGGACCTCAATTATCTCAGTTTGGGAGCTGAGTTTGTTGGAAGGAGCAGAGCTGTTGGTCACCTGGCAAGGGCTGGATTTGCCAGCGTGGGGTTGATGTGAATAAAACTAAAACTGGATTGATGTCTCTGCCAAGCTGTGGACTTGGAGGATATTGAAGTGTCTGTGAAAAATACCATGGACTAAACAAAACAAGGCTTGTCCCAGCTCTCCTGAGCAATCCTGAGCCATCACAGGACTGAGCTCCATCTGCAGCCTCATCTGAGACAGCCAAGTTAAAAAATGAATAATTCTGCCTGGTGCTGGCACATCACTGGGAGTGATGGCTTTGGTAGAGGAGATGGGAGGGAATGTGGGCTCTGGAATGTTAATGTGGGCTCTGGAATGTTAATGTGGGCTATGGGATATTAATGTGGGCTATGGAATGTTAATGTGGGCTATGGGATATTAATGTGGGCTATGGAATGTTAATGTGGGCTATGGGATATTAGTGTGGGCTCTGGGATATTAATGTGGGCTCTGGAATGTTTCCTTGTAGGCATCACCCCAGTGTTTGCTGTGGCAGGAGCTCATTAGGTGCTGTTTTGACAATTAATGTTTGGATTTTTGAGATGGTCCCATCTTATTTCCATTTCATAGCAGGAAGCATTGTCTTTGCAGAGCCTCAGCTTCTGTTCCTGTCAGGGGTTGTTAGAAAGTTCTTTTGATGTCCCAGAACAGCAGCTCAGGTGGCCTTTCCTTCCATATTCATGGAGTTTGCAGGTGCCACAGAGCTCCCATCAGGTACCTCGGCATCCTCTGGAAAATCCATTATTCCCACATGGAAAAATTCAGTCCTGTAGGAGTTTAAATCTCAGCTCCTCTGCAGGAGAAAAGCAAAATTCCAGGAGTGCTGATCAGCTGAAATTTGGGGATTAAGCTGTAAATAAGAGGGCTCAGAGCACATGCAGGTGACCCGGTGTCATTTTGAGTTTTGTCTCAATTACCTGGACTGTTGTGGAAAGAAAGATTTGAAATTGAAATTCATGCTGATCTTAAAGGTGACAGTAAAAGCTCTGTGCCTTTATGGAGAGAAAATTCCTGAGTGTTCTCCTGGGCTGTGGCATGGAATAACCTGGAAAACAGCACAGAAAGGGGGATTTGCAATTTTATCAAACCATAGAAAGATCACTTCTTTTCTAAATCATGCTGCTGGAGTTTTTACCAATTTTTAATATTTTTCCTCCTGCATTAAAGAGGAGAAAAAATGTGGACATCATTAACAGGCTTTTGGCAGATAGGCAGAGAGGGAGAATGGGCAGGAAGCTCCAATTTATGGGATTTTACTACATCTGGGAGCCTTGGGTTGGGTTGTTACTACAACACTTCAGTCCACCAAAAGGAAAACCTAAACTTTCTTTTGGTCACTTTTTTACTTTTTCTGTGGTTTGAGAGAGATCTGGATGGTGCTGCTCTCTTGGTTTTATGGAATTGACTGGATTTTGGTGATTTTTTTTTTTTTTTTTTTGTATCTGAAAATACCATGCAGTGAAATGAAAACTTGGGGTTGGTTTAGCTGGAATGCTCAATATGATAATTTTGAAGATTTCTTCCTTGAGTGGAATATTGACTTTCCAAATGCAAATGCTGATACTGTGTGATATTTTTAGGAGTGCTGTTTATTACCTTGCAGAGACTTTAATGTCTGAGCAATTTTTAGATGAAGAATATGTCACAAAACCTTCAGTGATAAACCCATGAAATTGGAAACGGGAAACTTTTTAAGATGGGTTGTTTTGGTTTTTTTTTTTGTTTCCTTGACAGAATTTTGCATATCCATTAATGAATTTTAATGATAGAATTCTCTCCACTGCATTCTGTGGTTCTCTCTAGCAATATTATATTTTGATAGCCACCATTATGTTGCATTATCCTAAATAATGGATTCCTTTCCTTTGCTTTTTGCCAGGGGAGTTTTGTGGCCTGCATGACAGCCATCCTGAGGCAAATGGAGGATTATCACTATGCCCATTTAATCAAGACTTTTGGCAAGATGAGGTCGGATGTTGTGGTGAGTTTCATTTGTTTTATTTCTTCATAAGATGGCTCAGCTTGTGTTTGGTTTCTTTTCCTGTTACTGGTCATTACATGCACTGGTGAGATGTGTACAAAATGTGGTTGGAATTACAGATTTAATATAAAATAATGATTTAGGCACTGTGACACACACAGGAGTACAGCTGGAGCTGTTCAGTGTTTTAAAACATGAGGCAGTGGATTGAAGGCAATTGAAAGAAAGCAGTAAAAAATAGTAGTGATGAGACATTACAAAAATCTGGTAAGGAAAGAAGAAAAAGAATTTAAAAAAGGCTTTCTGATGAAAGGAACTTTCAGTGTTAAATCTTCCAGATGTCCTGATTTCGTTTCTTGAAGTAGCTTTTACTTAGAGATCTGCTCACTTTCCCTTTTCCCTTTTATGCAAATCACTTTAACATTAAAGATACCCTTAGTTGTTAAATAAGCAATAATAACTGAAATTTGTCTTCTCAGAGTCATTGGGTAGCCTGGCTAAGGCAACAACCCGAGTTAATTAAAGCATAATAGAAGGGAGTTTAGAGCTGAGGAGATGAGTGTGGAATAACCTGAAAGTGCCAGTGCCATATGGGCTGGCAGGGCCACCCAAATCCCTGAAATCAGCCATTAGTGATGGCCCATCCCCAGTGCCACCCTGGACATGTCCCAGGCAGCTCCCCCTGCCTTGGAATCTTTCTGCAGCTTCTTCTTCTCCCAGCCCCACCAGAACAACGCCAGGACCTTTCTTCTGTGCAATTTGTGTTTGGACTTCCCAGTTTGTCTTGAATTTGTTTTATTCTTCTTTCCTGCCTCTATGGGGCCAGGTTTGAGTTCTTTGCCCTGCTCCAGTTTTCGGGTTTTTTGTACCTGCTCTGGCATCTCTAAAGCTCAGAGCTGCTGTTTTTAGGAGGGGGGGAAGGCAAAGTCCAGCTGCAAATTGCTGGAAATAGGGAAAGGGTTGGGCCTCCCTTGGGGTCTTGGATCATTTACATAAATGGGCACTAATTGCCAAACTAAATGCAGATAATGGGCTGAGAAGAGTGATTATAGCAGAGGGAAGAGAGAAAAGAAAGTCAGGGTCTTTCCTTGGTGTGATTTTAATGTTTGGACTTCCCAGTTTGTCTTGAATTTGTGTTATTCTTCTTTCTGCCTGTACTGGGCAAGGTTTCAGCTCTTTGCCCTGTTCCAGTTTTCAGGTGCTGAAGCCTCTTTTTGCACCTGCTTTGGCATCTCTAAAGCTCAGAGCTGATTTTAAATAATATTCATTAAGGTGTGGAGGTTTAATGGCAGAACATTGTTAATCCTATGAAAAAAGGAAACTATGGGGAGTAAACTGAATTTTCTTTTTTTTTTTTTTTTTCCCATTGTTTTTCCACTTCTTTAACCCAACAATTTTTTTGTGCCACTTTCATTTGACTCACCCAGCAGAACTGAAATCCAGGAGACTTTGCTTTTAAACCCAGAGCTGGAGGTGAAAACTGCACCTCCTATTGCAGAGGATTCAGTTTAATCACAAAGCACTGATTTAGAACTGAGACTAAATTCAACCAGGCAGAAATGAAAAGCTTTTTCTTAAAAAAATAAAGGCAAGAAAAAGGGAAAACTTAAGCTGTGGTTTCTTTTTCACCACTGGAGACCCTTAAATCTTCCTTCAGCCTCTGCTCTTGCTCAAGCAGGAGTTGGAAGCTCAGGGCTGGAAGTGCTGAAGGAAACTTTATGGTCTGTGTTATGTAGGTGGCAGGTTTAGATTATTATAATGGTCATATTTGGCCTCAAAAGTCTGCAAAAAGATGAGGTGGAGTGCAATAAAACCAGTCTTTTACCTCTCTGCAGAATAGAGAGTTTAGATTTATTAAGGAATGTCTGTTCAAAGAGGAATTTCTTGCTTTAAGATCCCTTCCAGCCCAAACTCTGCTGTGATTCTGTAAAATCAAAATCTGTGATTCTGCTGTCACCCTGAGATGAAACATAATCTGAGATCAGGGAAGTTATTTCTGGGACTAACTGATTTTTTTTCCTCTTTTTGCTTGGTAAAAAATATTTTTATTTGAGGCAAATGTGGTTTAGTTGACAAAAAAATGCCTTTTAATGTTGTGCCATGTGGAGAATCTCAGGCCAGGCTCAGGTTGTTTCCTTTCATCAGTGGATGGGAATTTTTAGGGGTCTTACATGCTGTGAATGTATTTCCTATTAAATAGGATTTGTATTTGTAGTTGGAGAGAGAGTAGGAGCTGTAACCCTTCCTCCTTTAGGAGAGGATTTTATGTTCAGAGATATTTGTCCTGCTTCCAGTTACACTGAAAATAAGCAGCTTTTTCTTGTCCTGGTGCCTTCCCTCTCTTCCCAGCCCCTCAAAAACCCTGAGTTTTCCTCATAAAATGAGGTTAATTCATCCAAACCCTTTGCTTTTCTATGAGATCCATAAAATGGAAAAAAAACCCCCAATATTATGAATACATAAACCCCAGGTGAGAATCAGGAGCCTTTTATTTGATCAATAATTAGCTGAGCTGTTACAGAGCATTATTATTTCAAGTACCTGGGTGAGCATGGGGTTATTAAAATGGAAATATCAGGGGATGGAAATGCAGAGCTGAATCAGCAAAGTAGGTCAGAACCCCCAGGCTCAGGAAGGAACCAAATCACCAAAACACAGGAAAAACGAGCAGGGAAATCTGAAATCTTCAGTTTGAGCTCTTAAATGAAGGCAGAATTTCCTGGGCTGGAGGAGAGGCTCTGGGCTGAGTGTGGCTGTGCCCTCACTGTCACACACTGGTGACATCTGGACCAGGAGCAGCTGCAGCCTTGCTGTCCATCCTCTTGGTGCCAGGGTCTGGTTCACTGGGCACGGTGGTGTTTGGTCAGAGGTTGGATTTGATGGTCCTGGGGGTCTTTTCCCACTTTACAGTTCTGGGATTCTGTGATCATTGCTGATGTTGTTCCAGGAGCTGTTTTACCAGGAATATTCTGCACATGGTGGAGCCCAGTTCCCGGGAATTTCCCAGAATCCCAGAGTAGTTGGGGTTGGAAGGGAACTCTGGAAATCAGCCAGTCCATCCCCCTGCCAGGGCAGAGCCCAGAATGACTCCAGAGAGGGGGAAATTCCACATTGCTTTGTGAAATAAGAACCATGGAGAGAGAATATTTACCAGCACAAGGGGGAATGAATTCCCACTGCCAGAGGGCAGGGATAGGTGGGATATTGGGAAGGAATTCCTGGCTGGGAGGGAGGGGAGGCCCTGGCACAGGGTGCCCAGAGAAGCTGTGGCTGGTCAGAATCAGCTGGGTTAACTTGGTTGTGGTTTAAGTCACAAACCATCTGAGCTCTTTCTCCCCGAATCCGGTGGGGGAATGTTTGTACAAGGTTGTTTTTGTTGGGTTTTTTTTGCAACAATATTTGGGAAGTGAGAACCTCCAGCAGGAAGGTGGGGATCAGGAAGGACCAGCCTGGAGAGAAGAAGGATCCAGGGAGAGCTCAGAGCCCCTGGCAGAGCCTAAAGGGGCTCCAGAAGAGCTGGAGAGGGACTGGGGACAAGGATGGAGGGACAGGACACAGGGAATGGCTTTAAGCTGAAAATGGTTAGGTTTAGATGGGATATTGGGAAGGAATTCCTCCCTGGGAGGGTGGGGAGAATCTGGGATGGAATTCCCAGAGAACCCATGGCTGCTCCATCCCTGGCAGTGCCCAAGGCCAGGCTGGATTTTGGGGCTGGGAGCAGCCTGGGACAGTGGAAGGTGTGGAACAAGATGGGCTTTAAGGTCCTTCCCACCCAATCCAGTCTGGGATTCTGGGATTTTTAATCTCAAAGCCACGTCCTCAGGATCTCTGCAGCTCCCTGCATCCACTGATGGGGAATTTCTGGGCCAGGAAAACATTGGAACAGAGCAGTGGATTAAGAGATAAATCTGCTGAAGATTCTGGCTCTCAGACTTGAAGAAAGACTGATGAGAGCAGAGACTTCAGATTGGTTTCTCACTGAAAAGGTTACACAAAAACCAGTCTTAGTTAAAAGTCCAGTCGATGGAACATATTGGGGATTTTTTTGGTAGGCATTTGACATTTTAAAGATAGACCAGATAAATACCATTACTGAGAAACTGTATCAAAGGGAAGATATTCTAACCTTGGAATAAAAGTTCATTTTTATCTCTGTGTGAAGTGGATCAAGGACTTTCTGCATGAAGTTCTCTTTTTGCCTTTATCTTTCTCTCAGCATTTGATATTACTGAAATTGTTAGATAGCAATTACAGATTCCCAAATTGTAGGAGATGATTTACATTGTAAAGTACACAGAGTTTCTGGTCCAAAGAATTGTTTGTTTATAGCTGTGTGGGAATAAATTGGTTTATGCTGTTAAATTAACTTGTTCTTGGGCAGATTTTCACTTGCAGAAGCAATTCCTGCTGCTCCCTTTAGGGAGGGTCCCTCTCAATTTTGGGATGTCCAAACCATTTTTGTCCTCTGACCCAGCTGGAGGTGATGATTTGAACTGGAACATGTTTTCATTTTAATATATAAATAATCTCAATTTCTGGAGAATATGAGGGGAGGAATTATTCTCCACCTGAAACTCCAGGGAGTATTTTTAGTGCAATTGTAAGAGTTAAACATTCAGATTTTTTTTCCCCTCTTTCTATGAACCAATGTGCTTTTATCAACTTCTCAAGAGTGTGTCATGACAGGTGTGTCACAATACATGAAGGAACTGGGAGATTTTGTCCATAGTATGGAAAAAAATTATGATTTTTCCAGGAGAAACTCTTTTTGGATAACTGGTGAACCAGTGCTTGGCCTTGATGTATCCCATGGTTTGCTTAAATGAGGGATTACCATTGTTATAATTACTGCAATGGAATTATTGTAGCATTTATGGGCATTATATATAAATGTGTTTGAGTAGGATTTAGGTGTATTTTTTATAAAAAATGGCTTTTTGAGGAAACAGAACGCAAAGACCCCTTTGGAGCGCAGTCATTAATAGCTGCCACCATCCCTTGGGAATTTTTTGGTCCAATTCTCTCCAACTCTTGTCTCTTCTTGCAGGATTTCCTGATGGAAACGTTCATCATGTTCAAGAACCTCATTGGCAAGAACGTCTATCCCTTTGACTGGGTGATCATGAACATGATGCAGAACAAGTGAGTAGAGAGGGAAAAGCTCCAGCACCACGGGGTTGCTTGGAAACAACAAACACGAGGCTGCAGCCAGCCTGCCCTGCCTTCTCCTCCTTCTCTCGTGCAAAGAATGACTGCAGAGTTTTAGCTCTGCAGGAGTGTTACAGGGGCCTGGGTTAGGGCTTTTGGAGTCCACTAAAAGTCAAGGGTGGCGTCACTCTGAGAACCTGGATTTTGGAGCCAACTGCAGGTGCAGTAAAATTCTATCCATATCTTATCATAATTCAGTTATTCTTTGGAGGATGGATTGCATGTTGTGCATATGACCTCAAATCAGGTGGTATTGTATGGAGTTGTATGTCCAGGAATGATTTCATTGGTGTTGCAAGAAAGAACTAGAAAAGCTTTTAAATCCAAATTCCATCACCCCAGTAATGTAGAGAGAGGCTGAAAATGTTCCTAATGCTCATTCTTTTTCCTCAGTAATTGCAGTTCTGTCATTATTTAGCATTCCTTTGTGCAGTGTTTTATGCTAGTGACATTTTATTAAGTGTGTCAAATGCTTTTATGTGTACTGAGATGAAAGTATAAGGGAAAAACATTATATTTACCAGTTGCCTGGAGAAATCTCTTCTGTATTTACTGGAAGCTACCATGGCTGTAAAGTTGTCAGTGTTTCCTTATATAAAATCCTGAGCCACAGCTCCTGCTGTCCTTATAAAAATGCACCATAACTTTAATCTTGGCTTCTGAAGTCTCCTTAACTCCCTAATAAAATCCATTCTGAATAAATAGGAGTCAGGAGATTGAGCCATCTTTGGGTTCTTCCTGCTGGTTTGGAATGCTTGGGAAGCACCTGGTATTTGAAATAAGGAGCCCTTTGAGAACTGATTAGGAACATCTGAAAGTCTTTGGGTTTATTTCTTTTTTTATTAATTTTGAAAGTGGTTTTGCTTCAGCATCTCCGAGTGCCTTGAGAGCTGTGCTGGAGGTGTTGGGAAACCCTCCCAGCAGTGTTAGCTGTGAACAGGAGAACCCTGGGTTATGTGAGCATTGGGAAGGTTTGTGTTGGGACATTGTTAATGCCTTAACTGGCACTGATAAGGGAGGCAGAGCAATTACAGTGTGGTCAGTGCTGCAGGGAGTGTTCCTTGTGTCAGCCCAGCACAGGAGGGACAAGGACATCATGGACAGGATCCAGAGGAGGCCACGGAGCTGCTCCAGGGGCTGGAACCCCTCTGCAGCCAGGCTGGGAGAGCTGGGGGTGCTCACCTGGAGAGGAGAAGGATCCAGGGAGAGCTCAGAGCCCCTGGCAGAGCCTAAAGGGGCTCCAGGAGAGCTGGAGAGGGACTGGGGACAAGGCATGGAGGGACAGGACACAGGGAATGGCTTTAAGCTGAAAATGGTTAAGTTTAGATGGGATATTGGGCAGGAATTGTTCCCTGGGAGGGTGGGGAGAATCTGGGATGGAATTCCCAGATTTGCTGTGGCTGCCCCTGGATCCCTGGCAGTGCCCAAGGCCAGGCTGGAGCAGCCTGGAACAGTGGAAGGTGTCCCTGCCATGGCAGGGGGTGGAATGAAAAGATCTTTAAAATCCCTTCCAGCCCAAAGCATTGTGGAAATCCATGGTTTTATGGTCAGCAGAGCCTTGTCAGGCCAGGCCCAGCAGAAATGGGATGTGTCGATGATCTTTGATTCTTCCTGACTCCTCTCAGTGCCTGTGGAATATCAGAGTAGTATTTAAAGTTTAAATCAAAAATATTTCCCAGTATTTTTGGTGTTGATGAGTATCTTCAGATGTCCTGAGGGGGGTTGTTCATCCCTAATTCTCTCATTCTTTCATTCCCATTGCACCAACTTCTTTGGAAATTCTTCTCAATTCATTTCCATGCTTTTCATTTTTCCTGTTGGAGTTAACGTGGTTTCCAAACCCAGAAAGCTGCGTTGTAAAATACCTTGTTTTATCCATCTGCTCCATTTATTTCCACCCTTATAAAGTTTTATTGGAGAAAACCAGATGAAATTTAAGAACAAATCCTGTCTTTTAAAGCTGTGTCATCCCCTCCATAGAAATAACTCTGAACGTGCAATTTTGTGTTTTTGAAAGCACCTCCTTGGGCAGTTTCTGTGCCATGAGCCAAATCAAGGGAACTAAATTTTAAATGTATCCACAATTTCATTTATTTCCTGCATGGAATGCATCTGGTAGTGTGAAAAAATGGGAAAAAGAATAAAAATACCTGGAAAATCTAACTCTTAATCCTCTTTTAGACCAGTCCTTTAGGAAGTTTCTCCTGAAGCTTCTCTCCATGCAATTCTTTGCTTCCAGGTTAAAATACTTTGGATTAAGCAGTGGATTCAAATATTCTGGATGAGATAAAGTTGTAGGCATGGGGGAAGAGGGGAAATGGTGAAATGCACATGAATGACTGGATTGCAGGGAATATTTGCAAATATAAGTTTAGTTCAAATTTAGTGTTCTATTTTTATGACCTTCACTAGTGGGATAAATACATAGAAATAAATATGTTTGTTTATTTATTTATTATATAAAAATTCTGCACACTCATTATTAATGACAGAAATTACTCTGAAAACTTTGCCTGCCTGTTTTTGGTCCAGTGCATGAAAACATCAGGATCCTTCTCTTTCTCCTACCTCCCAGTATTCCTGTGCCAGGCTCAGGATCACATCCCAGGCCCAGGATCACATCCCAAGTTCAGGATCACATCCCATGCCTTTGTTCCAACACCACAGGGAGTCACACTGTGTTCCCAGCTTTCATGCCAAAATGAACACAAGAAATCTTCATATTTACCAAGATAATTCTTCCCTTTTTTTTGTAAAATACTTTATTTACTAACTTGCCTAATGTAGCAAAATTCTCATTTTGGCAAAGCAATTTGTTGATTCAGAGCCCAAGGTTTTGGTGTTGCCAATTTGATGGAATTACCACCAGTGTGTTCAAGGTGACATTGGTTTGCAGGTGACTGATCAGCATTTTGGGGGTAAAAAAATTTATTTTGGTGATAAAAGAAGAGAATATTCAAACTGATGCAATGGCTTTTCCTTTCACTTCCAAATTTTGGTCCAGATCAGCCCTGGTTTACAGTAAACAACAATCCAAGGAAAGGAGATGGAAAAAACCACTGAGGGATGACAGAGATGGAGAAGGGACCATTAAATGCACTTTTGAAACAGCTCCTTGTAAGGAGGAGCTGGAAATGTCTTATAATTCCTTTTAGGATACCTGTCCACATCGAAATTCCAGCTGTTGTAGGGTTTGTCTGTGCCCACATTTTCAGGAGGAGTTATTCCTATTCAAGCCATAGTATCTGTATTTAATAGTTTGAAGCCATCAGAGAGTTTCCCTGTGTTTTTGCATAGGGCTGGGAAATGCTTTGGAGGCAGATTCTTCATTCCAGCATCTCCAGGAAGACACACAAGAGGAGTTGGAGCTGTAAAAGCAGTTCCAAAAAAAAAAAAAAGGCAGGGATTTTGTCTTGTTTCCATTTCCCCCATTGAAACCGTGTTTCGAAATGATTCCGAAATGTTTGCGAAATTGTTTTTAACTTTTGTCAGAAGCTGACAAGCTAAACTTAGGTTCCTCCTAAACACATAACTCAGAACATGAAAGCAATTCCTCCCTACGGTTCTGTAAATGAAAATAATTTAGTCTTTGGTCTTATTTTTGGCATTTGAGACAATTCAGTTCCTTTGGTAAGACCTTATGATATATTAATTTGTAGCTGCTACTTTCATCTGCAGCTGTGCTAGTGGAAGCTGAGTTGCCTATGAAAAAGGAATTCGATGTTTGCTGTTCTATTTTTTGTTTCTAATGTCCACATTTACATAAAATACCTGTTTGTTTTGCCTTTTGAAGTCGGAGAGAGCAGGATGAGGTACTCTCAGTGAAAATGAGATCTCTTGTCTCTATTTTTTTTTTTTCCCAGAGGAAATAGAGCTGGCCTGGCAAGGGAATCTGGAGGGTGTTACCTGTTGTGTCAGGGAGAATTAGGTTGGATATCAGGAGAATATTCTTCCCAAAAGATGGTTGGGCATGGAAAAGCTCCCCAGGGAATTGTCACAGCCCCAAACTCTGCTCAGCAGCAGCAGAAATATTCCTGTATGATGCCCCCAGTACAAATCCCAACCACCACCCTGTAGCTGTGGAAAGGGGTTTTAACCCTTTAAGTGAGGCAGAAATAAGATGCTCAGCTCCATGGGCGTCTGTCATGACAGGAAGGAAGAGCCAAGTTTATTCAGAAACACACTTGGTTTTATAGCAGGACTGCAACTCCCAGAGTAGAGAAAAGGTGATTGGTTCAGAGAGAAGACACCCCATTGCCAGGGCCTGGGCACACACCACAACAGGTGTTCTGTCTTGTTATTAATTCCTTTTTATTTTGACCACATTATCACCCTGGGAGAAATTCTCCCCAGCCTTGAGCTGGACCAGCTTATCGGCTGGGAACAGAGCTGAGAAGCTCCAGCCTGGAATATTTTGCAGGCTGTAATTTTCTTACTTTCTCAATATGTGTCCCACACCACCCTACACCTTCCATGAAGAAAATGCCCTCAAGCCCACCCAAACCCATCCCACCAACCCAGAACCTCAATGAATTTTCTGTGTGAAAAGCCAAAAAAAAAAAAAAAACCTTGCAAAGAGCAGGGCAAAGGACGGGGGAGATGCTCCGGATAAACACGTCCTGGAATGTTTATTTTTGGAGCTTGCAGGGAAATGTGGGCAGTTCTGCTGCCTGGTTGTCATAGCAGTACCTGTCAGATCCGTGCTGTGCTCTCACAGTTCCCTCCAGTGATGTTTGTGACCGTCCATCAGCAGTGGGCAAACCCTGACGCACGTCAGGAGCCGCAGCAACTTCTGCGTGTGGACACACACACATTTATAGAGCTGGGGAATCACAGCTTGGGAATTCTCTCCAGGCCTGGATTTCTCCTGACTCTCAGCTCCATTCCCAGGCTGACAAGCTGACTGCAGCTTCAGTTAGGGAGGAGTCTCCCAG